TCATCGTCGAATTTATCCCGCTGCGAGAAAATTCGATTCTCAGCGTGACTTTTTTCCGGTGTATATTTTTCGCGTCGTAACGCGTAAGTGGTTCCGGAATCGCGCGTCAACGAGATCGAAGAAATCGCAAGAGAGACGACGCCGGGAGTTTCGCACGGGACGAGCGATGTCGAGAGTCCTTTCCTTTCGTTAGCGCCGCGCCGATTTCTCCGCGCTTCCGCTCTTTCATCTGGTTCGATCCGGCGCGCGACGTCGTAAACTCGCGCCGGAGAAACCGTAACCTCATTGCCAAGTCCGACTTTATGTAAGTCCTGTTATACGCGGTTTATATTATTTTTATAGTTGCGCACAGCGTGGCTCTCTCTCTCTCTCTATCTCTCGGACGCTTTTGTTTTACTTTCAATGTTTCACTGTCTTGTAAATAAGTTTAGCTCGGACGCGCGCGTTCCGCGCGGTTTATACATGCGTGGATCAATTCCGTTAGACACCGTCACACAGTAATCAACTAATGTAACTGTAATATTCCGTTATTGAACTGTTCGCGCGCGCGCGTCAACCAACTCCTCGATATATTGTTGCAGTAAAGGTGGACGGTGACGCAACGCGTGTAAAATTATAATTTATTTGGGAATAGACATCTCTCTCTCTCTATCTATCTATCTATCTCTCTCTCTCTCTCTCTCTATCAGTCTTCGTAAGACAAAGCAAAACTCATCAGTCACTTGGTTTCCTCGCTTTATCGCAGCTCGCTCATCTCTCCGCGACGAAATAATGAACTTGGCGTGTCTATCTTCCATCGCGCGAGAGATAGGATCGTGCGGCCGATGCGTGGAGGATGAACGGACTTCCTGGACGACCAGGATCCGTGAGCGCGAGACCAGACGAGAGAGCCATTGCGGCATGTCATTCCGCGTCGTTTCGCGACCCCCGTCGCCGTTTTATCCGTCAGACCGCAGCTCATTACGTAATCACGTCAGGTGGAGGAGACGCTTCACTTCTGCCATTAGCGAGCGAATCGAGGCGGACTCTCAACGAGCAGACTCGATTAACTCGCCTCGCTCGGAGAAAGATCAATCGCGGCCTCGAACTTGACACGCGGCGTAATCCGCGCGAGCAACTAGTGTCTCCGATTTCTCGTTCGTCTCTCGTTTAATAAATAGTTTTTTTTTTTTTTTTTTTATTCGAAGAAAATCGACTTGAGATGCAAATTTGAGTGTGCAAATTAAAATAATAAGTTATATAATTTTTACAAGTTGTTAGTTTTGAAATACTAACTTCTATTGAAAATTACACACTGGTCTAGAATTGATCCATTGACGTTAATTACAAACTTTCGTGTAGCAATCGAACAAACTGCGTGCAGTGTATCTCCTCGACTAGAAGGCCAGTCTCTCTCGACACGCGATATAATTTGTAATCACTCGCGGAGTGATTACACAGTATAATTAATTGCCGTTTATCAAACATTAGATCGCGCGTCACATATCACTTGACTTGGCGATACAATGTGTCGTTGTATCAAAGTAGCAGGTAATTAAACGTACGAACTACGCGCTCTTGGTAAAAAGTGAAATAAATATTTATGCCTTTTTTTCTTCATTTCCGAGTTACACTTGAGAAACTGACAAAATAGCGGCTTCACCGGAACAGAACTACAAGTGAAACTTGAATTGCGCAAAAAAAAAAAAAAAAAAACTGCTCGTGACTACGTGCGTATGTACGTCAGTTCTAATAAGCGTGCGAATGTCTTTCTTAAACAAGAGATGAGATTTATTCCACGACTTGTAAAATGTTTATTCTTGCCGTGACTCAAACTTTATGTCACAGAAACTCTGGTATCAATTTTACACCTTATCCTTCGTCTCTGACACGCAATAAAAGTTTTGTACGCATCAACTAATTTTAGTTTTGCGAACTGGGACACTATTTGCAATCCCTGCGTATCAATTTTTTTTAATTTTGACTCTTTCGAAGCAACGTGGTGGGGCAGTTATTTATAACCAGGGGAGCGAGAGTAAGTGGCACTCGTTCTTGTTGCTTCAATTGTTACCTCTTCCCCTGCTGCTCTTCCCGACCGACCTCGATGACCTGAAATGTCCGAGTAAATGAGACGGATCGCGCGCGAGGCGACTCAAGAACCGCGCCCGGGTTACATGGGTTATCTCACCGACATCTTCGAAATAAGGTCATGCCGATTATGCGACATGTTCTCTATTCCTCGTCGCGATAGCCGCGATCAGTTCGCGTTAGAAATAAGAAAAAGTCCAAAGCGTCGACACGTAATTAAAGACTCAAACAATTTGCGATTTAAACGTTAAAATGTATTTGCGATCATCAATCAAGATGGGAAACCGGCGAAGATCTAAAATTAGATCTTGAATTTTGCAAAATCCGTCTAGTGCGTAGTTTTCACAAAACTTTAATCGATCGAAGTACAAGTGTTATCGGAAAATGGACGACGCAAGTGGGTAAGACACGTCGAGCGCGGAAGATAAATAACAAACATGATGCATCTTTAATTATTTTAAGAAAGTTGGCTAATAATCAGACGTCACAGAAGAAAGTAACTCAAAAACAGATGCAATTAAAAAAAAAAACTATAAAAATACATCGCATGAATACAAATTAAGGTAAAAGACCCAATTACACCTGAACTCTGACATTATTGCATTGTTTTTATTATTTATTTATCAAAAACATGTGTTTTTCTTTTTATCTGTTATTATTCAATGTCTCTCTAATATAAGGAAAAAATACGTTTCTCCAAATCTCTATTGTTATTTATAAATTCAATAATTAAAAAAAGAACAATGTAGGAGCTATTACTGTCATCCCTAAATAAGATGTAGTTTACCAAATTAGTGACACTTCAATTTAAAAAGGAAAGGGAGGTAGGTTACATTGTATATATGTAATATAAGATATGAAAAAAAAACAAAGTGTTTACTTTTTTTTAAGTATTTTAAATAAAACAGTTTAAGGTGACAGTAATTGGATCTTTTATTCTCGCACGTTACGTTATTTTTTTGTCGCGGATGTTGAAGTTTCATGCCGTTATATTCTGCAAATGGCACGGAATCCATTGTTATTACTAGAGGATTATCTCGAGTGACAAGCTGATGTGTGGAGAGCGCATTCTGCGTGATTTTGTTGACAGTTTCTCGTCGACTACGTACACACAGTAGATCCTACGCTTGTGCGCGCGCGCGCGCGCGCGTAACACGATGATAACGCGATGTGTATATGCGTATGTCAACGTTGCATAATAAAAACACACAATGTAGCGTCCTCACGTACGTACGTAAATGCCATTCCCAGGAGACGCAGCGTTCGAAGCTAATTGCTCCCTCTCCCTCTCCTCGTTCCACGTGTTAATTAATTCTTCTCGCAAACGTCTGTCAGCTGTATTTCGTCTATGACGGTTTTGTAACATCGGGTCTAACTCATTGTGTAAAGTTTGAAGCAAAAAATGAAATTTGTCGAGTGGATTCGGTTGTTACTAGCGTTTAATATTCGACTGAGTATGTGTTTATTTTTTGATGAAATATCTATTTATCTAATTTTGGACTATGTGTTTTGTTTAATTTGTTTAATTTGACTTGGATGAGACGATTGAATGATATTTTACACATGGTGTTTTGCTGCAATCTCTTAATTTAGTTTTTTAATTTTTTTTTTTTGTAAGATCTATTTGATGATTTATTTGATATCCTTATATTTATATTGTTATGCTGTAATTTTGTCCTTTATATATAATATTAATATTTGTACTAATACTTAATAGTTGACTGATTGTTAATGACCAATGAAGATCCAAATAAAAGGATCGGAACGATTGATTAGTAATAAACTAATATAATCAATAAATATCAATAAACTAATGATCACATACACGAACAATTTACTAGCTTGTATTCGTTTTGATAGAATTTTTTATCGCTGTGTTCGAAATTTTGCAAACGTACTTTGAATAAAAGATACATTACGATGTATTTAAAAAAATAACATTTTGTCATTTTCCGTTTCCTCCATCTGAGAGAAGTTTGTACGCGAAATTTGAGATAAATCGGAATATGATAATGACACGTAATGCCTTACTTCGTAAAGCACTCGAACGAAACGTTACCTGTGCAATTTGTCCGATCAGCGATCTGCAAAGGGCATTCGCTTTAATTACCTATCTGACTCCCGTGGAGACACGCCATGGAGTCTCGGCTTCCGCGGCTTGAATTAGTAGCAAGCGCACGATGTGGGAGAGACTGATTCAATTACATCGTCGCACACAAACGCTGCAATTCGCTGGTAAACGCTCACGCGATTTTACGCTTCGATCGTTTATCATAATCGAAAAGATCGGCCGTGAACGAGCCTGTGTGTATCTTTCCGTCCTATAAAACTTCACAGCGCGACTAAATTGCATGTAGCAATTAAAATTTATTATACACGGGAATTAAATATTTTATTACACAAATTCTCCATTTGTCATTATTACGCGAGATTATTGTAACATCACGTTATCTCTCGTTATCGCTAATGGAAGTTAACTATTGCAACGTTTTGTTAATCATGTATTATACGACGAGAGTCATCAAGCGGCTCAGTGGTCTAGGGGTATGATTCTCGCTTTGGGTGCGAGAGGTCCCGGGTTCAAATCCCGGCTGGGCCCAGTTAATTTTTTTTATTTATTTAAAAAACATTTTTTTTTTTATCACATCTTTCTTTGTTGTTACGGTCTTTTGTAAAATATTGCCGTTGAAAACTCGTGATAAATTTGATTTGTTGCAAACAATTATTCATTGCGAGTAAGTTATTTGTTACATATTTCACTGTCATATCCATCCAACAAGTGCGTGAAAATCAATGTGTCTTTTATTTCAAAGTTTAAAAAGATTTTTACTTGTCATATAACGAGCGATTGCCTATTCGTAAATTTACGCCCGAAAAATCTGGTTATTAATACTTTTACACCTGTGGTAATTAATTTCGCTCGCTTGTTGCAGGACCGGCAGCATGGCAGCTGAGGAAGGAATGTTGGGCGGTGGTTTGGGCGCGAAATTGAAATGCCCAACCCCCATATCGCGATTAAGGGTGGAGAAGATCGAGGGCGGCTTGATGGTGGCTGGCGTGGTAATAGCTGCGAATTGCCAAATCGCTCTTCCGGCATTCGGCACTCTCTTTATGCTCGTTGGAGCTGTACTCACCGGTGCGTATTTTGTTTTTAAATAACATCAATCTTTATTGTTTTGCAGAGGATTTTTAAATACCAGATTTTGTCTCTTTCTCTCTCTCTCTCTCTCTCTCTCTCTCTCTCTCTCTCT